TAAGTATCTTTGTTTTCCTTTTGGAAATAAACAAACATATGGAATTGTACTTTTCTAATAGCTTTTATGGATATTTATTTAGAATCATTCAGTAAAAAATTGTTACAGGTTTTGAACTTAAGATTGTCTAATATTTCTGGTAATACTCTTTATACATGAATTTTCAGATTCACAGATACCTCAACAATCTTCCACATGGGAACAAACGCTGAGAGCAAAGATGGACAGAGAGAGCAATTCATACGAAGAATTTGTAGTCTCAGGACATTGAGAGCCAGTGAGATGAACAGTAAAAAGGGAATAAGAAAATGAAAGGTGATGACCTGGAAAAAGTTTCACTGAAGATGACGTGATTGAGCTAGAGGACCATTCTAAACCTTCATATGCTGTGCAGGTTTAGAGCTATTATGTCAACATTACTATCTTTTACATGCTGGAAGTTATATAAGTAGGTCAATGAACATAAATCAAAGTGGAGTCATCAGAAAATGAGAAACATTTTTATGGAACTCTGTTTGAATCTTAGAAACATATGAAGGGATATATTGTTGTGACTGATGCTTTGAGAAACCAAACCAACGAACGCCGAGAGAAAGACCAAACAAAACACAAACACCAAGGTTTTACGTGGTTCGGCAAATTGCCTACGTCCACGGGGCAAGAAGGGGGTGGGTTTTCACTAATAGAGAAGGAGAGTACAAATTGAGATTACAAATCGCTCAAACGAACCAACTAATCTCACCAACAAATCTCTCAATCTCTCAACCAATAACCCTAACAAATAGCTCAGAAAGATCTCTCTTTTTCTGTGCTCCAAAACCCCAAAACTCTCCACACAAAACCCTCAAATCGTATTGGTATTTATACCAAAACAGAAACCCAAACAGACTGCAAATAGGAACCTGAACTTTCCAAAAAACCCGTCATAAGTCGACTTATCAGTCTGCATAAGTCGACTTGGCAGAGCGAAAAACAGCAACTGGAGAAGAGATCATAAGTCGACTTATCAGACCTGATAAGTCGACTTGGCAGAGCAAAAAACCAACAATCCAGAGCAGAACGTAAGTCGACTCATGCACCAACATAAGTCGACTTACCATAAGTCGACTTATGCCTGTGCATGAGTCGACTTATGACCAAAAATCTGCTTTTTCCAATTCTTCTCCACAATTCTCCACCTCGGCGAAGTTTTCCCAAAACTGAGCCGACACCAACCAAACAAATGCCTCACATGCTGAGACCCAAATGAGAGTGTGAACACTCACCCCAAATGTCGATGTCGCTCACCAAATCGGCTGCATCAAAATGACTGCCTACGTATCCTTTGCCCAAGGAATCAAGCCTTCACGTAGTTCACCCAAACGGCCTCCAAAGGCCCTCAATCAAATAGAAAAGTCTGCAACTCTTCTCCAATATCACCAAACGATCTGCAACTGATAGTATTCCCAATGACCCCAAATTGAGACAAATCAAACACCTCCACCTGAGGTAAACCAATGGCCATATCCAAACTATATCTACCAGCTGCAACTGAATCCAAAACCAATCCATCATCTGCATCCAAAACCAAATGATCTCCAACCTGTGTCACCTTAGCTGGAATCCCAAATGACGCAGTATGATCTGGAGTATGTGGAGTAATCTCCACCCAACGTGGAGTAGCATCACTCTCCACCTGCTGCGATATCCAAATGACCTGATCAACACTCTCCACCTGCCGAGAGTCAAAAGTGACATACCTGCTCAGAACAAAATCAGAAGCTCCCAAACGATAATCAACTGAGCCTCCGAACCCCAAACGCGCAATCGGATCCAATCTCACATCCACGATGTGACCAAATGCTGGGTATCCAAATATCCGACGCGACCCAAAATCTGAAGCAGCTCCACCAGATCTAATAACTCCTAAAGCAGCAGTCGGCGACCTATGCATAAGATGACCCAAATATGTCGAAGCCCGCACACCAATGCCAATGCTCGACATCAAACGCCGATCCTCCTCCAGAAAGGAACGACCCATCGAAACTGTCATCTCATCTCGTCGCCCCAAAGTCTCCACACCAATGAAGTGTCTCCTATTGCCGTGAGCTCGGCACCAACGCAAGAAAGGACCCCTACCAAAGCTGAAACAATGAGTTACCTTTCTGCCAATACACTTCTTCCAATTGTTGTTGACTTCTAGGACTTTACACCAACGGGAACTGGTCGCGACCCAATAATGCCTAGAACAATCACCAACTGTGGAAACCAAGATACGATTACCTCCCAATGATGCCTCCTTGGAAGGCCCCCAAATGCCTGACTGAACACCTCCAAAAAGACCCCTCGCTCGATGGATAGAAGTGCCAAACTCCACCACGGTCTCGCTCATCCTAATGTGCTCACAGGACTTCAATCTGCAGGTCATAGCACTCCTCAACAACCAATGCACGGTATTACCAATCATATACCCCAGCACCAAACAATGCCACAGTCTAGCCGAATCTGATGAAGTCGTCATTTCCCTATCAATCACCGTGCTTCCGTGCAAATAATACAAATTTCTTCTTCTGACGCCCTTCATCACAATCATGGACCCAAATGTAACCTTCAAGCGTGCATCCGCCAAGGTCACCCTATAGCCAGCTGCCTCCAAAGCTCCAAGTGAAATGATGTTCTTCTTCAACTGAGGAACGAACCTCACTCCAACCAACTCCCGAATCACCCCGTCACTCATCCTGATCCGAACAGTACCAATACCACCAATAGAGCATTTGTGATCATTCCCCATGAGCACGAAATCCCCTCTTTCCAACTCCTGAAAGCTGGAGAACCAATCCCTCCTAGGGCAAATGTGGTATGTAGCACCCGAATCCAATATCCACTCTGTAGAGTAGGCAACACAAACTGACGGCAGTGCAGATAACGAGTAGCCCGAAGAATCCGAATCTGAATCGTTGCCACTAGCCTTGACAACATTCGCCTCTGAAGCTTGAATAGCTTTTCCCTTATTCTTCCCGGCTCGATCAACTAACTTTGGGCAATCGGCTTTCCAATGTCCATCTTCTTTGCAAAAGGCACATTGATTCTTACGAACTCCAAGATGTGCCCCTCTAGACTGCGACCTCCCACTACGGTTTGGACCCTTTGCTCTTGCGACCAACGCCCCCGCTACCGGCTCAAACGAAGTCTCCTTATCCTTCTTTCGAAGCTGATAATTCACAAGTGCAGCGGTGACCTCACTATACGAAAGAGATGCCTTCCCATTAATAAGAGTAAGAACGAAGGTCTCATATTCCTCGTCAGGCAAGGAACTCAATAGCAACAACGCCTTGTCCTCATCTTCAATCTTAACATCCACATTCGCCAAATCCGCAAGAAGCTTCGTGTAGTGGTTCATGTGATCACCAATGGAGGTTCCTTTCTTCAACTGGAAGCGGTAAAGCCTCCTCTTCAAATGCAAGCGATTCTCCACACTCTTGGTCAAATACTTGCTCTCAAGGATCTCCCAAATCTTCTTTGCAGAAGTCTCATTGATCACATCATACTTTAGATCTTGAGTGAGACAAGACCTAATCACACCACACGCCGTTCGATTCATCTTTTTCCAAACCTTCTCATCAATGTTGTCCGGTTTCCCGTCCAACTCCAACGTATCTTCCAAATTTTGCGCGTTGAGCGCATCCATGACTTCGCATCGCCAAAGTCCAAAATTGTTTGTGCCATTGAACTTTTCCACATCAATCTTCATTGAGTGGATATTCAAGCTTTGGACGGTCTTCACGCCGGAAGTACTGCCCACAACTCCTTCTTTCTCGGCCATAATCCTCAAGGCACCACCAAACCAATGCGGAAACAAACGAGAAATAGATCCAAACTGAAAAAGACGAGATTTTTACAAAAAAAGATCCCACCTTTATCACCAAACGAAGCCCTAGATGAACTTCCAAAGCGATCTACTCCTCCAAATAGCCCAAGCGTTGCCCGTGCTCTGATACCACTTGTTGTGACTGATGCTTTGAGAAACCAAACCAACGAACGCCGAGAGAAAGACCAAACAAAACACAAACACCAAGGTTTTACGTGGTTCGGCAAATTGCCTACGTCCACGGGGCAAGAAGGGGGTGAGTTTTCACTAATAGAGAAGGAGAGTACAAATTGAGATTACAAATCGCTCAAACGAACCAACTAATCTCACCAACAAATCTCTCAATCTCTCAACCAATAACCCTAACAAATAGCTCAGAAAGATCTCTCTTTTTCTGTGCTCCAAAACCCCAAAACTCTCCACACAAAACCCTCAAATCGTATTGGTATTTATACCAAAACAGAAACCCAAACAGACTGCAAATAGGAACCTGAACTTTCCAAAAAACCCGTCATAAGTCGACTTATCAGTCTGCATAAGTCGACTTGGCAGAGCGAAAAACAGCAACTGGAGAAGAGATCATAAGTCGACTTATCAGACCTGATAAGTCGACTTGGCAGAGCAAAAAACCAACAATCCAGAGCAGAACGTAAGTCGACTCATGCACCAACATAAGTCGACTTACCATAAGTCGACTTATGCCTGTGCATGAGTCGACTTATGACCAAAAATCTGCTTTTTCCAATTCTTCTCCACATATATGTGAATGCAAGCACACAAGTTAAGGGTTTCATATAATTTTGATCATCTTGGATACACCTTGTTGAAGCTCCCAACATCAAACATGTCTTAACAAGCCACAAACCATTGTCAGGATTATTCATATCGTCTACGTCATTCGTGCTTTCGGGATAAAGTATATATTTGAACAACAATCTTCAACTGAAAATATCATGGCTTCACATAACAACAGTTCAATTATTTAAAGACGCAGACATCTGCTAACGAGTTATACCCCTTGATAGCACGCGAGCCATCGGCAATAGGATCAGAAAGAGACCTGTTTCATCATGTTTAGATCCTCAATAAATCTTTCAAGGTTATTATAGGAAGACCCACCCTGACTAGTTGCTTCCTTAGATCTCTCCTTCCATTTCATCGCGTTCTTCCTCATATCGTTCGCTTTCTGATCCCCTTCCATCAATTCCTTCACTTTGCTAGTAACTTGCTCCCTCTTGACGTCTCTATCAATCTCAATGCCAACGCCCCAGTCCTTACAAACATATCGAGTGTTTGTGTACTGTTCGGCAAACCCTGGCCAACAAACCAATGGTACTCCACCACTAATGCTCTCCAGGGTCGAGTTCCATCCACAGTGTGTTAAGAATCCAGCGACAGAAACATGAGAGAGAACCTCTTCTTGTGAGCACCAACTAGCTATGTAGCTCCTCTCCTTGGTCTTCTCAATGAAATCTTGAGGCAGTATGGCGCCATCTCCTCGCACAAGGTTAGGCCTTATTATCCATAGAAACGAACAGTAACTATCTGCAAGCCCCCAAGCAAACTCTACCAATTCTTCGTGGCTAACTGTGATAAGACTCCCGAAGCTCACGTAAATTACAGACCGAGGTTTTTGGGCATCTAGCCATGCTTTGTAGTCACCATCTACCTCCCAAAGGTTTAAACACAGAGAGTTGCGATAATTTGTTGTAATGTTGCGAGTTAATTCTGAAAATTGTCCTATGGCATATACCTTTTGAAACATAGCCGAGAGGGCATTCACAACATCCGTCTCTAGTAAGTCGAATGTGTTGAGGATCAAACCTTGAGCTCCAAGTGATTTTTTGGTTACCTTCTTTTCGTTGTTGAGAAAGAAATCATCACTGTCGAGTGATCTAACAAAACTCGAGAGGTCTTTGAGACGAACATCTTTCATTCCTGGTATCCAGTCAATAGTTGTGTCAAGATACCCATTTGTTAGATAGCTCTCATCTGCACAACAGAAATATAATTTAATCTTTAGCTGCATATGGTATTATTTCTCGATGAATAAAAAATGGCGGGGGGAGAATAGGGACAGAGCTAATTAAGCCGGACTTCTGTTAGTGTCGAAGGTTAAGACTATCAATTAAAATTCAAAACTTTGGATTTCTTAATTGCAAGTTTCTTCATGGTGAAGTGTCAAGAACGTTACTGACAGATAGACTATCTAGAATTTTTTAAAAGATTTTGACATGCTTTATTAGGTATATATTAGACAAAAATCAGTAAATTTTCTGAAAATCTGAAACGTCATGTTCAATTTAGAGAAGCGGGAGAAAAATTATCGCTCTTATTGATAAATTAATAAGAACTTCGTTATGTGTATTTATACAGCTTGAAAACTGTATATGGAAGTCACAAATGAAAAGAAATAAAACAAAAGAGAAATAAAGAGAAAATATACTAGCTAAATGCATGTTTATATACTATTTAATTAAATAGAAGATATGATATTAAGGAGAATATGTATTGCTATATTCAATACACACTTAAAACTCTCAGTGGGTCGAAAATCAGGAAGTTTAGATAATTAGATTAATCGAAACTAAGATTGAGTCTTATAAGCCTTGGTGAAGAGAACAACCACTTGTTCTTTGGAAGGAATGTACGCATGAACTAAGTGTCGAGCTTCATATTCTCGGCAAACTTGATGGGAATTGACATCGATGTGTTTTGGTCGCTTATGAAACACAAAATTAGTCGACATGTGAATGACACTTTAGATTGTCATATACTATAAAGGCATGTTAAGCCACACTCACACTCATTTGACGTTGCACAAGCATTAGAAGTCAATAGCAATGTTAACCGTTGCGCTATATTTCGCTTAGCGCTAGAGAGAGATCAGTGTTTTGATGCTTATTGCGCTAGGAGATAAGTGTAGCGCCAAAAGGTAGAAGCACTAAGAAACTGACTCAAAACAAGCCCCGCATTAGCGTATAAGAATGCGTGATGGAAAGAGAGAGAAAAAAAAATGACTATTTCCCTATAGCATATGGGATTTGGCAGTGGATCTCCATCATCTCGGTGAAGTTTTTGGTTGGGCTTCATATATACATGAGAAAAACGAGGAGATGACGAAGCCTGTGAATCAATGACGGATGTTCGCTTGAGAATATCAGCGATGTATTTCTGCAGTATAGAAGATATCCCTAAGAGAAAAATGCAACCTCGATGCCTAAGAAACAATTCCTCATCTCAAATTGACTTTGGAGGCGTGTCTTCAAGTAGGTAACTGTATGTGTATCATCCCTAGTGATAGTCATGTCATTGACATAGAGGAGGCCCATGACACGATCCCTGGCGAGGAGTGACAGAACATGACATCAAAAGGACTTTCCATCAACCTAATTGTGAGAAGAGACCGGCGGTAGAATTCAAATTAAGCAGACGAGGTGCTTATTTGTCCACAAATGGCATGACGTAAATGACAAACATAACGAGGAGGAGCATGATCATCTGGAGTAGATGTAGAATCTTTTTGTAGTTTCTGAAAGTTGGCCTTAATGAACTGAGCTGGATGTGCAGTTGCGAATGTGGAGAGCGAATAAGCACTGGGGCTGTAGGATTTATGGGTACGCGTATAGGATGGTTGAAGGAAAGATAAGGAGTCAGTTGTCAGTTGTGGGACTACATGAAAGAAATGTCCTCAAAGAATGTAACAGCATGAGCAATTCGTAGATAACTAAATATTAATACCGAACTAGTAATGAACAACCTAAATAAAATCAACAATTAGAAACCCACAACACGATCTTTTCATGCTTCACTCTTCAACCTCCACTGATCTTCACTGAACTGCATGTGATGCGGATAAATGGCTAATAATTTAATGATCTATCCGTAATCACCACTTGCACATGACCGTTCATGGTGAAAGTTTTATCGCGTTCATGTGAAGGAAGCAGAGGAGAGCAAACGCAACCAAGCATGTGAAGTAGAGAATACTCAACTGAGGAGAAATACAAACGTGGTAGGGAGAAGCATTATGGAACACAACGGAAGGAGCAATATTTTTTAGGAAAACAAGAGTTAAGAGTGCTTTAGCCCAAAGAGATCGATCAAGCAAAGGCAGAGAGTAGAAGAGCGCGGGCTGCTCAAAGAAATGATTGTGTTTCCTCCGTTCTACTCCATTTTGCTGATGAGTATGAGGAAATCTAAGACATGAGCATTACAGCTCGCCTAATTCGAATAGAGCCTCAGGATGAGGAGCACTAGAAAAGATTCCTATAGGAGAGAATATGTGGCTAGAACAATGGCGGAAATATGGCACACAAGGCTTGAAAAGAAATTTGCAAAAGAGACGGATTTGCCTTGGCAGTGGGTCCGAGCCCCAACAAGTAACCAGGCTAGGCTACACCAAAATTATTAAAAAAAAAATTCTAGGTGAGATCAACATTAAGAGGGGATGAGCAAATGAATCCTTGATGCTGTGCTGCTAGTTGTTTCCCGGATTGAATTAGAGAGCGCCGCCGTACCTGTTCTTGATGTACAGCTCTGCGAAGAGAGATAAGAGTGGAGATTGGATCTGGCCGGATGTGTTGACAATGGCTTCAATTGCTGAGGATCGAGAGAAGTGGCAAAAAAGTGACTGTAGTCAGCGTCTCAGCGTTTGGGCACAGGTGGAAATTAGAGATAGCGGAAGTGTCGGGATATTCATCTGTGAGTATAGTTCCACATTGAAAAGGATTTGAGAGTGATGAGTTTAAAATATGATGCGGGACGGAAGTAAAAATCTTGGAATCCACCAAGAAGCGCTCTACAAAGCTATAAGGAATAAATCTCGGAATCCATGAAGAAACTTTGCATCTATGAATAAATATTAACAGAGGAATATTATTAAAAAAATAAAGAAGAAGAACAAACTTTTAATACCTTTCAAAGGTGTGTATCCTCTCTCAACGAGTTCCTCCAAGTGAAGATCAGCCATGAAACCACAAGCACTCATCGAACAGAAAACCATTGCAGGAATATTCAACTCCTCTCCAACGTCTAGAGCAAAATCCATTAGCCAATTGTATACAATACAACTGATGCGCGGTATACCTGATGAGTTATTGAGCTTCATCAGAACATCTCTAAGGGGAGAAGCACAATGAGTATAGGTTTTGATTGAAGATTTGGCAACACGCTGGTTTGTATGCAAACTAGTCGGTACAAATGCATCGGCTACAGTTTCAAACACGAAATGCTCAGAGCCCTGAAAAGCATCAGATCCTTGAGATTCAAGTATGGTTTGCTTGCTAGTTTCAGTGTTGATGAAAGTGATGTGAAAGCCTTTGGAGTGGAGGAGTTTAGCTAATTGGAGCATGGAATTGATGTGGCTTGTGTCAGGGAATGGGAGCATCACAGAGTGCGGCATAGCCATTGGTAAGAACTTGACTAATGTCGTCTGAAGGGAAACTTGCTAACAAAATAAACAATTAGTTTAACTGAAAATAAATGAGTTATGAAAAATCAGGCCTGAACGGGGTGCAGTCGTGATACACTGCCCTAGAAGATAGAGGACCCGCCTGTCGCCCTGGCGTAGTTGATCCTCCCCCCTAGCGGTAAAAGCCCCCCGGAAACGGCCGGCCTCTCTACTCGGGCGCGAGTAGCAGAGCTTCTGCTCAGATGAAGATGATTGCCCAAAAATAATCCTCAAAATATGTAGCCGAAAATCTTTGAGTACTAAGAGTAGCAGAAGGAGGAAGAGGGAGCTATGAAATTCTTTGTGAATTTCTGTGTGTTTTCCCGAATGAACTCTGCCTCCTTATATAGCCTCATGAACCAGTAACCGATGCTGAATCTCCTCGTCCGTTGGGCGTAAATCACGCTGCCGTTACATAATAAATGCTGCCGTTACATAATAAATGCTGCCGTTACAAAAAAATAAAAGCTGGAGAAGCAAAACCCGAGTGCGGTGCGGCGTGGCGCGCGCGTCGTGGCGAGGCGTGGCGAGGCGAGGCGAGGCGTGGCGAGGCGAGGCGTGGCGTGCGTGCGCGCGCGCGTGTGTGGAGAAAGAGCTCAAACACTAGTAGGCCCAAAACATTACTCAAAGCCCATTAGGAAGTGAACCATTATAAACCACTTGAACTTCTCTTCAACTTCCAATGTGGGACTATTCACAATTGCCTTTTCCTTAAGAAAATGCTAACAGTCCCCCCCAAAAGGCAATATAGACAAAACAATTAGTAAAACATATATATATATATATATATATAGGTTGGGCAACCTTTTGTATCGTGAATTCGGGAAAGGTAGCTTCCGGCTTTGAACCTTTCCTTAGTGAGTTTGTCGCCACCTGAGGGACATAATGGACTAAGCCTTGAATTAGGGCCCTTGAATCAGGTATTGACAAAAACACACACAATACACTTCATCTATTGAGCAAAGCGGGTTGAGCGTTAAAAGGCCATGCTCACAATAACCGACTCATGAGAGTTTCTAGGGGTTAGTTTAGTCCAGCCCCCCCCCCTTTGAGAAGGCAAATAGTACCTCTCTATATATGGTTGGGGAATGGTAGATTAGGCATTCTGGCCAAGTACGAAGAAATGATGGTGAAGTATGGGATGGTGGATGCATCAGGACCTCCTTTACAACTGTCGACAGACGATTGGTGGAGAGATCACTTTAGCATTGGAGAGATCATCTCAGCATCGAATGGAGAATGATCTGGCAGCATGGTAGAGCCCAAGCGATGTGACAAGATTGTGGTTAAGGCCATAATAGGACTTGTCAAGGGCTGATTGTGGTGCTGACATGTGCCCTTAAGGGGGAGACCCGAGGTAGATACTTAACCTTTTAATGTAATCAAGGAGTAGCGCCTTCCGAGTCGTTCGGAAAATGGTTGAGTAAACTCACGATGAGTCATCTTAGATAGAAGGGAACGACAATTTCCTACTTTCAGAGTCGATATGACAAGATGTCGAGTGGTCGAGTCAGTGAAGTAGTCATTCTTACTAATCTTTGGTCCTCAAGTTGATTGGGTCAGGACATGCAGATGTACACTTGGTAAATAAATTATTCTCGGACTGATGGTGAATACCATAACAGTTTGCCCATTTTGCTTGGAGTCAGCTTTAGCTGGGTCCGAATGAAATATAATAGGCTTTAGGCCAGTGTGAATCTACTTAGGATAAGAAACTAAAAAGTCTCTTCCAACTGACATGACTAATGTCACTGTGTACTTGGACTGCCAAATCTAATCTATGATCAACGGTCAGAATTGAATGTTAGGAATCGAGGCATTATGGAATTAGTGGGAAGCATTAATTAGAGGGAAGCATTTTGATTTTCAAGAGTGGTAGTGTGGAGTAAATAAAGGAGTGGCGCTTTGTATTTCAAGTGAACCGTTTGAGATTCCGAAGTTGATCTCATTTATTTGTTTCGAAATACTGCACCCCCTTACATCAAGCCACGTGTCTTTTAGGAAATTATAAATAGCTTGCAGGGGACTAAAAAGGTTTCTTTACGAACTCTTGCTTCTAAAAAATCTTTGGCATTTCTCTAGGTTTATAAGTAGAAAACTTTCAATGGCTTCTCGAACTTTGACTGTTGATCGTAATGAGGAGAAGATTTCTCTTCTTCATCCTATTCATTCAAGGATATACATGGGTGATCTAGAGTGGCTTTATAAGCTCTATGATATCCCCAAGACTTTCACACTAGCGATGCAGATAGAGGCGAGCTAGTGGATAGCCATGGTGAGAATTTGGTGCCGTTGTATCTTGCACATTTGCTGCATAGTCTAGGACTGCCCCTTCATCCTTTCATTAGGGAGGTGTATGTTGCCTTAGGGGTTTCTCCTACTCAGTTCTCCCCAAATGCGTTAGGGTTTTTGGTGGCCTTCATTGTCATCTGCCATCGCGTTGGGGTTCGGCCAAGCATGAGGCTACTTGGGAACCTAATCAGCGTTGGGTCGGTCAAAATGGACCTGCACTACTTCTACCACTATAGTGGAGATTTCCATATTGTCTCTAACACTTTGGAGTCGAAGAAGGATTGGAGGGAGCAGTATGTGTGGGTCTACGGTGTTAACAACGTTTTTGCCTGCTCAACTTGGCCCGAGGTAGTCAGAGACGCATCGATCCTAGTCACCCTTAGTGATCACGAGAGGAGGGATATGACTTGGCCCGAGGTAGTCAGAGACGCATCGATCCTAGTCACCCTTAGTGATCACGAGAGGAGGGATATGGAGAAGATTTGCTCCTATGTAGGGTCACGGGAGAGGACCAACCTTTTAGACATGGTGTCTCTTCATGCGGCGGGCGTGTCCATTATCTTTCCCTCCACTGGAGATCGAATGAGGGCGAGTCTCCTGGCTCTCCCTCCAGAGGAGAGTCGTAAAAGGAGCACAAGGGGCGAGGAGTCAGGTTCCGATGCCAGGATCCAATGCCAGGCCTCAAAAGAAATTGAGGGGAACTCTAGGCTCCAAGGAAGCCAGTCGGCATAATGCTTCGAGCGACCAAAATTGTCTCAGTTGTGGGGAAGGACGAGGGTCGAGAGAGGAGCCTAGGTCGAATCGACCGTGGAGCTTCAATCAGCCGAGAGGGGTTTGCTGGTTGCTCAAGTTAGCCATTTGAGTAATGTGGGGCTGGTAGAGTAGTCTTCTCCTGGCAGGGAGCTAAAGGCCCTGGTAGTCGAAGCTGCCAAAGTTAGGACCCAAATTAGGGATGCAGCTGACTCTAATTCTATGCCCGAACCTTCTCACCACCCCGGCAAGGAGCTTGTTGAGTCGGTTGATGATGTCAAAGGATGAGCTAAAAGTCATGATCAGATGGAGAATAGTGTTGACGATAGGACAGGGTTGCTCTAGCCATGGCTCCAAGATATCTTAGAGATTAATCCTGAATCTTGGGAGGTGGCGAAGGTGATGCTTGTAGGAGTGCCATGGAGGCCTTGTTCACCGAGAAGGGAGTTCCCTGAGGGTGACAGATTTGTGCGAAAAACATATTTGGATGTTAAGGCCTCTATCTTGGGGTTGGCTGCAGCATCATCCGCAGATGTTTGCTAGTTCGTCCTCTGAGAGGACGAGAGAATTAGCTTACTTAGTTTGGGGGGCTTTACTGGAGCAGGCATTGTTCAACCGGTTTGAACATATGCATGACTCCTCCTTAGAGTGGTGGGTAGAGCTGGCCCAGGAGAAGTTGGACAAGGAAGAGGCAAAGAAAAGGTTTGCTACCTTGGAGGCCGAATTGACACATAAAGAGGATGCTTGGCATCGGGAGCTGGATGAGAGGGAGAGGCTCTTGACGGGTTATAGAATCTAACTTTCCAAGCACTTTGGGTTCTGTTGATGAGATTCGACGGGAGGTAGCCCAATTGAAGGGTAAGGTTGGTAGTTTGCAACAAAGGATTTCCGAGCGGGAGTGCCGACTGATTGCTTTGATCGGGGAGATCAAGACCGAGAGGTGTCTAAGAGTGGTGGTTATGGATAATGCTCGATCAAGTCTTCTCTCAGCTGAGCAGTTAAGACGGGACCTTAAAGAGTTGTCGACTAATCCTGCGTCTGCGATAATGGTCAAGGACTTAGAGGGTCAGCTTTCCCACTTAAGCTCGGTACGATATAGGAATGAGGTTGTCGATGAGTGGCATTATGGACCTCTTGGTAAAATTGAGGTAGCCTTGGCTTGCAAGGCCAACGTCGACTATCTTGTTTTCTGCTTCCCGCTAGCCTTCTACCTGCTTTCGATCATCCGTTACACCCCTCGGGTATCTTGCTACCTTTACCTCCTGGAGGCTGTCAAGGCGAGTGGAGGGGAGGCGAGTCTGGCATTGGACATCGGCGGTGATGATGAGCCAAGGGGATGATATTAAAAAATTTTCGGCTTCCTCTCCTACTACTACCGCTGAAGGCCCCGGGGACTCAACTACCACTGAGAATCTCCCTAACCCGACTTCAATGTTCGGTCGAGAGGCCTAAAGGGTCATCCTATATCCCCCCCCCTTTGGTAAAGAACTTGTAATGAAGTTTGCTCTTTTGGAATAAAAATCTACTTTGTTCTTATTCTTGAGTCTGTCATCATTTGCTCCTTACTTTTGCTTTGCTAACTGGTAGCATGTAGCTTTGCCCTGATTGTGAAAACTAAGTGTTGATTGTGGTGAATCGGTCATGTTGTTTCGACCCTCTTGTTAGGGGGTCGAGACGACTGGCGCCTACCTTGCCTCGTGTTGGTTAAGTGTTCGAGTTTTAGATTGATATGAACTTTGGCAAGTATCAGAGCCCAAATGCTTTTATCATGGAATGACCAAATATTTAACTAGCTTACCTTGAATCGATTGATGTTGATATCGTAGATTTTTTGGCGGCAGGACAACCCTAAGGTTGGGTGCCCAGGAATTACGTAGACGCCTAGGTCTTTGTAAATTGACAAGCCAGAGGTTGAGTTCCTAGGTCCATAGGCACCTAGGTCTTCCATAGAGGCATGATGATCAAGAAGTTAATCCATCGATGAGGCTACACTGATAGAGATGTAGTGTTATCATATCAGGTTTACATAGATAGTATTGATTAGAGGTGTGGAGCTAACATGACAATACTAGGGTATTTGATAGAGGTGTAATGTTAACATATTAAATAGAACAACCGTTAGAGGTGAAATGTTAGCCAGTTAGGTTTGGAGGAGTTCAGAGGACAACCACCATTTATAAGTAACGGTAGTTAAAATTGATGGAAGTGTAATGTTAACTAATCGACTTTTAGAAAGGATGGATTGACAGAGGTGTAATGTTAATTGGTCAAGTCTGAAAAAGGAAAATTAATATAGGTGTATTGTTTATTGGTCGACGGATTGGTCCGTCAAAGTATAATGCTAACCAGTCGGATCATAGGGGTGAAAATTGTTCAGAGATAAAATGTTAACATTATAGTTGTAAGGTAATGTGAGTCAAACAG